GGGGGGGGTGGGGAAATATCTGGCAGATTACAATGCGGCCCCCTATTGTCTTTTTCTCTTCACTTCAAAGTCAGTGAAGTCTCGAAGCTGTTACAGCTGCCACAGAGATAAAGCACACTCTGCTCTCTAAAATGTTATACTTAATGGATGAGTACAGAATGTCCTCTGCACACGCTTGTTCTTAAGATGAGTCATCTTTGTATCCACTGATGTGATTTTAGTACAGGTATCACAGTTGTCAACAAGTACAATCCTTAAGGCTGCATGATGCATTTGAAGTAAACACATTTTCACTTTTCAGATCTTTTGATTTATGTATTAATAATGATGTTGATTTGGGTCACATGCACAAACTGCTTGATTTGTTCTATGTATTTTATTAAAAAAGTGTTACAAAAAATGTTTATAAATGTGTCCCTCTCCCTTTGTCCGAAAGGTGTTGTGGAAGGCGACCTGGCAGCTGTGGAGGCCTACAAGTCATCGGGAGGTGACATCGCACGGCAGCTATCATCAGACGAGGTGCGCCTATTAAACCGCTCGTCTGCATTTGATGACGGCTTCACGTTGGTTCACCTAGCCATCCGCTTCCAGAGACAGGACATGCTGGCTGTGTTACTCACAGAGGTCAGTGCAGACAACCAACAGATTGTGAGTCCAGTTCAGGAACCACCTGCCCCGGGGTATCAGCTGATGGACGGGGAACCTTCCAAACACACGGCAACCAACAACTACACTCTGCCATCTAATATCTATACTAGGCAGATTATAGATCAATGTGGATCATTCTGTTCAACAAATGCAACATTGAAATAGTTTTGCATCATGGAAATGTGTTTTTTTATAATCCCATTTCGCCTGTTATTTAAAAATAAATTCAAAGCCATGGTCTCCAGTGGAAATTACCCCCTTGAATCAGGGTTATGATTGCAGCAGAGCTTGTTTCTGGGTCAGCGTTGATGCAGCTTTTTCTTGTGAAGTTTCTTAATCTCAACGTCCAATGAGATCAGCCCGGAGGACTGACAAGGGCAAATGGTCTGTAGAGAGGAAGGAGACACGTTCCTCTCTCTGTGCCTGCGGGAGTATGATAGCCGTTCCTTTTATTTACAACGTTTTTAATTATTTTTATGTTGAGTATTTTGATCTGGGTTCCCTTGTGTGTCTGTGCAACAAGACGGCTGATGTATGTGTGTGTTTGTCTGCAGTGTGCTTGTGCTGAGGTTGGCTGCAGCTCGCTTACCGTCACCACTGTGATCCCAGATTATCTGTAAACACACCTCTCCTCCCACACTGTCTGTCCCAGTTCTTTTTTCTAAGGGGGTCAGTGAGTAACCGCTGGTTCATGCCCCCGAAAGAGCTCCAAATCTGTTCGAACACCACACATATATATACACTTCTATTCTGAGATTAGATTAGTACAAGTGAAATTAGATCTCTGAGTCAACTGTGCCGGAAAAGGAATTTACATTTATTTTTGCTATATGTGCTATCAGCAGCCATCACTAGCTTAAGCCAAAAGTCAAATACTTTCATTACTATTATTACTTGTATTGGTATCTCCAGGAAGCTTCCTTATTGCAGAATTGTATTTAAGCACCAAGACATCTTAGATTCCTACCCAGTTATAGACCTCTGTCTTGTATTTTCTTTTAAAGTATCCTCCTCCCCCTTTACCCTCCTCTGTGCAGGTGTCCCAACAGGCAGCCAAGTGTATCCCTGCCATGGTGTGTCCTGAGCTCACGGAGCAGATCCGCAGAGAGGTGGCAGCGTCTCTTCACCAACGCAAGGGAGACTTCACCTGCTATTTTCTCACTGACTTGGTGACCTTCACCCTGCCTGCAGGTCAGCACCACAAACACATAATATGCAATTATCTTAAAACAATAAGCATGACTGTCATAGCATGAATTCCAGCAGCTGTCCCGAAAGTATGGTTTCTGGGTTTTGTGAAAACTCTGTGGTTGACAGAAACCCAGTTTAGCCCTCCCCTCTGGCTTGCCAAGTGTGTGACAGAATGCTTGTTTTGTTTACTTGTGGCTGAGGAAATTGCTAGTTGTTTGGATGCTGATTGGACATAATCCTATGGCTGTCTGATTCCAACTGTAGAAGATGGAGGCTACGCCTGGCTCACTGTTTGAGTATTGTTCTTGCATACTGAGTATACCATCACCGCAACAATGCATGTTTCTTGTTCATTACAAAGCTATATTTAGCAATTTTGCCAATGAATGTGTAAAATGTCATGCATTCAGTGCTATTTCAGTTGAGCTTCATTGTGTGGAATAGCTATTTATGTTCTAGTATGTTGCTGGTGGTTAGGCTAAAGATTGTTTTTATGTGTTGACAATGCAGACCTTGGTGTATGGCCACTATAGAAAGCCATTCTGTTCAGTTCCACAAAGTCACTGCATTCATTTATTTTAGCTGAAGAATAAGCCTCTGTGTTGACAAGAGCACCGAGCATGCAGTGAAAGCCAGTGGCCATTGTGGAAAGAACAAATCATGGTGGCTTGAGGTGAAATGAGCCATGCCAGAAACAAAAAATCGAGTTGGCCTTTAAATCATATCAGTTAAGAATTATAGCTAGTTAAAAAAAGTATTAATAAAACTCAGACTGTGCTCTCCGTGTCATTCCTTTATAATACCCTTTTTTCCTTTTTGTTGTGTCAGATATCGAAGACTTGCCCCCAGCAGTTCAGGAGAAGCTGTTTGATGAGGTGCTGGACCGAGACGTACAAAAAGGTGAAATATTTACTCTGTCCACTTCCTGACTTTGTGTTGCAGTTACACCAATCACACGCTGTGCTTGCATATGGATGCAATTGCTTGGAGAGAGAGAAACCCGATCCAAGATGACTACAATAGAGGGGAATGGCAAACATTGGGAGCCCCCTCACAAACTGTATGCTATAGTGGGAAGGCTGCCTAATACGGACACTGATATATAACTTCCCTCTTGCCAGCACAGCGTTTTGCCTTCCTGCTTGTCACTCTCCCAGGCGCTCTGTCCTTATCGTGTGGAGCCGTTGCCTCTGCCTTAATCAGCCTAATTGGGTTTTAGGAATTTCTCTGATCCCCATTTAATGATTTGTATATAGCCTCAGCCCACACATGTACAAATATAAACAAAAAGGCATCGTTTTGTATTCAAAGCTGTTCTTTATTTAGCTTCTTGCTTATATGGGTGTCATGTTAAATGAGTCACCTGGGCCTTATTTTTGGAACTACAAAATATTTCCAAAGATACAGAAACCCTTATTTCTCCTTGACTCAATGAGACACTCCTTAATCTCAACCACACTACCCTTTGCACTACCCTTTGAATGACACAAAACCAACATCATTTTTAATTTCTCTGTGCTAACTTGCCCCAATTAGTGACATTGCGCTACACACGTATAATAAATGGATGTTCCAAACCTTTTCTGATGACCTAGTGACGAGCTTTTGAAAGATATTGAACAGACATTAGACTTTCAAAAAAGAAAATGCTGAATTCTTATAACAATATTTATATATTCTTTTTATATATAAGCACTTTGAGCACCAGGAAAAGCGCTATATAAAACAAATTTATTATTATTATTATTCTTTTTATTCTTTTTTATTATTTTGTTTAGTAAGAAGATGTGTGTCCTGCGTAGTGTAGTAATACAATGCCACATTGATTTGGAGGCACTGGGTTAGACGTATCTTTGTATCTACTTGGACGTTTCCAGACTCTCTGTTTTGTGCTGTCCATGTAGAGCTATTTGGACATCCTCATGTCCAATCTGTTTTGACAGGTGTGAGTTTTCATTCACAACAACATTCCTTTCACATGCCATTACATGTCTTGTAACATGGGGAAAAAACGATGACCTTTAAACAACCTTTGCACATTTCTTATTAAAATATAAGTCAACAAAAACACACAAAAGAAACGCAACACCAAAGTGACACTGATACACACAAAAAGAAACCGATGAATCGTAATACACACAAAAACATCACATCTTTGCAAGCCTAAAAATCTAAATAAATAACAAAACCTTAAAGATAGTATAACATTACAAAATCAAATAACAAATAAATGAAGAAAAAAAGTCCCATTTCATTATTGTATGGAAGAACTATCTCTCAGGGTAATTACAAAATATGTATTCCCTTTGAGGTGAAAAACTGTTAATACCACTGAGTTGTTGCAAAGACAAACGGTCTCTAACCCCTGCTTCGTCCTTGTGCAGAGCTTGAAGAGGAGTCTCCCATCATCAACTGGTCCCTGGAGCTGGCCACCAGGTTGGACAGCCGGCTGTACGCCCTGTGGAACCGCACGGCCGGGGACTGTCTGCTGGACTCAGTGCTGCAGGCCACATGGGGCATCTACGACAAAGACTCAGTGCTCCGCAAGACCCTCCACGACAGCCTGCACGACTGCTCCCACTGGTGAGACCCCGGGAGCACAGATACTGAGTGTTTATAGTCCTTTAAGACTCAACCTGTGAGCAGCATGGCGTGCTGACCTGCATCTAGTCTCAGGCATGTTTAGGAGACTGAATGACACAATGCACCAAAGGTAGAAAGTGTTTTTAATTAGCAAACGTCTTTATTTGGGACAAAGGTATATATGCTGCATTTCTGTATACATTTACTGCAGACTGAACAATAGGTGTTTTTTTAATACAATTCTAGACCATTGCAGTTTTAGCAAAACATGCGTGTGTCAGCCATGTTTAACCTTGTTCTTTAAACATTTAGCTTAGACTGTTACGTAAGGTTAAACATTTTACAGGTTAAGTTTGAGTATTTTGGTCAAGCACAAAGAAACAGCTGGAATGTAACCTTCAGTGGTCTCAAGTTATGTTTTGCTTTCTTTGGCCTTGCACGACCATGTTGGAAATTGTGGTTTAGAGGTCGGGATGTAGTCCAAGAATCCAAAATCTGGATGCATGCAGAGATCTGCGACTTTGATCTAGAACTGAGAGGCTTTGACTGGGGATTTCAACCAGTCACATTTTAGAGGAGATTAATGCTCTCTTACGTGTGTGTGTGTGTGTGTGTGTGTGTGTGTGTGTGTGTGTGTGTGTGTGTGTGTGTGTGTGTGTGTGTGTGTGTGTGTGTGTGTGTGTGTGTGTGTGTGTGTTGCAGGTTTTACACGCGCTGGAAGGAGTGGGAGTCGTGGTATTCCCAGAGTTTCGGCCTGCACTTTTCCCTTCGGGAGGAACAGTGGCAGGAGGACTGGGCCTTCATCCTTTCCCTGGCTAGTCAGGTACATGCACATGAAAGCTAACGCGCACATTCATATGGAGGACAGGAGCTTGATGTGCTTCAAATGTGACACACTAATGATGTATGAATTATGCAAGAAGCTTTATTGCTCTTACCGCGGTATACTTAATCTGTCCTGCCCTGTGAAAGTGCATCCTGTCTGTCATCAGCACTTCTCTGCCTCTCACCGCTCTGTGTGACCTCACTGACTAAGTATTTTGGGCGGGTTGTTATTATATCTGGGTGTGAAAGCGCAGTAATTGTGAGTTTGTTCATGTTTTAAACACTTGCTGCGGTAACTTGGCAGAGGGAATGTACAGTATTCATGACTCCATGCCTTGTAGGTTAAAAAAGCCCCCCGGCTTTTTAACTACATGTTCCCCTTTGTGTCGTACTGTCTTTGCAGCCTGGATCCAGCTTGGAGCAGACCCACATTTTTGTTCTTGCACACATACTTCGTAGGCCTATTATCGTCTATGGAGTGAAGTATTACAAAAGTTTCCGTGGAGAGACGCTTGGGTACACCCGTTTTCAAGGTGAGGAGATCTTTCACTGTCATGACAAATAATATTTGAATGTGGAGTGCAGCTCCATGCCAGTGGCCGTATAAGGACTACACTTCTTCTGTGAAACAGCTCCAGCCTACATGTGTCTGCATAGCTTACATAGCAGACATAACTGCCCCTCTGCACTGTCAGTAACCTAACTGCCCCTCTGCACTGTCAGTAACCTAACTGCCCCTCTGCACTGTCAGTGACCTAACTGCCCCTCTGCACTGTCAGTAACCTAACTGCCCCTCTGCACTGTCAGTAACCTAACTGCCCCTCTGCACTGTCAGTAACCTAACTGCCCCTCTGCACTGTCAGTAACCTAACTGCCCCTCTGGACTGTCAGTAACCTAACTGCCCCTCTGCACTGTCAGTAACCTAACTGCCCCTCTGGACTGTCAGTAACCTAACTGCCCCTCTGCACTGTCAGTAACCTAACTGCCCCTCTGCACTGTCAGTAACCTAACTGCCCCTCTGCACTGTCAGTAACCTAACTGCCCCTCTGCACTGTCAGTAACCTAACTGCCCCTCTGCACTGTCAGTAACCTAACTGCCCCTCTGCACTGTCAGTAACCGCTATTTACAACATGTTTCAGGCTGTTGCTTTCCTTAAGGAAGTATTTGGGGCTGTGTGACTCAGAATAACATAAACAACAGAACACGCATGCCTATTTATAGGGAGTGGTGGAAAAACTATTGTAATTATTTACTTGAAG